CGATAAAACAATTATCATTGAAATTACCATTACCGTTGATAATTTCAAGTGGTCCCTATTCCGGACCGTAACGAAATTTATTTCGTCGCTGAAAATATCATGCACGAAAGCGCTGATCTCTCGGGGTTAGGTGTGTCGAGCAATTAACCTTGATTAAGTAAGCCTCTAGATCGGATTAGGTTAACGAGGACGATTATGGCGTCGTGTCTTGTTCGTTCTGTAACCATCGGTGCACGTACGGATATAAATGAACGTGTACATTTTAATGCGTGTATGGGAGTGCGTATTTATTTTATTCAGCGTCTACTTTATGCAAATGTAAGGGTACACATGCATTATGGAATAATAAGTAGATATTCATACAAGTACATAAGAAGTCTAGCACGGCTGAGATATCCTTAAACTGGACAAATAAACGACAGTGGTAATAATGAAATGCAATATCGAAGCATAGCAATGAACTACGACGTTACAAAGGACGACTGTATTTCGATCTATTTGCAATTTATTTGCTACATTTTTGGTTTATAATATCTAGACTACGGATTTTATGCATTTATGGATAAATACTTAGATATGAAAACGTACGTGAAATATACACACCGATACAAAATTAAATATTGAATATTATTATGTATACTCTTTTAATAAAATATGTTCTGCATACTTTTTATACAGAGGTTCCATATAACATCCATATATTTTAATACTTTAATGTTATAAATGCGAAAGTAACTCTGTCTATTTGTTATCTTTTCACCCCTAAACCGCTGAACAGATGATTACATCACGAGGAAGGACATTTGCTATATTTTATTTTGATAAAAATAAGGTTACGGTTCGAAATCTCTATATTTGTAAATAAAGAATCAGAAATATCACCAACTGCTTCACGAAGGTTCACGTGGTTGAACTGTCAGTCGAACGCAAACGACATACATAGAATAAACAGTGTTCCACGCGGGTGAAACCGCGAGGCGCTGATATAGCATAAACGCATCAAGTTCGTAGTCTAATAATAAAATTTTCAGGATTTCTGATATTTCTAACAAAAAGTTACAAAAAATCTTCTTATACCATATGAATAGAAAACATTCTAAATGGAAACAAACATGAATAAAAAGAGTGCATGGATCGATAAGAGTACAAATGAATTCTTTCGTATTCTTCAGGCAATATTCAATCTCAACAGTATAATCTTTCATTATTAATCTTTCTTTGAATTTGTTGGTGCGCATGATTGGTATTTTAATGCCGAATGAAACACCTGGTTAGCAGTAAGGAATTAGAAAGAAACGGTTACGTACGAAAAGAATCATTTTATCGACGCAGTAATGAATAAAGTGGTGAGATAGAAGGATGAATTGACGCAGGGAGAAGCAAAGCGAAATGAGGGGAGTAAGAGGGAAGAGTGGGGGAATAGAGAGTCGCGTTAAGTACAGATAATGGTTGGTGTTTACCGGCACGGTGATCAGCATGATTTAAGGGTGGCCTGGCGTGAAGCGGCTAATAGGACCCCAAATAAATTAAATTATCATGATAAAAGTGTGGCGGGACGAGAACGACGTTAACCTTAACGGCACCCCACTGCTTCACCCCGCGCAGAGGAGTGCTGAAAATGGTGATTGTCCACTCGATGGTGCCGCCCTTCTTGTTTACCGACATCTGTCATAACTTGCACCATTTCTCCCTGGCACCTTCGCTTTCCTAGAGTTTCGATGGCCTTTCATCGATCTCCTCGGTTCATTTCGATTGAATCGATGGAAACTTGGCCAAGAAAATAGTGTTGCGAAAGGACCAGGTACTCTAAAGTCTTAGCCAAAATGTTTTAGGAAAAATTCAGATTTCGTCGTATCGATGAAAATACACCCCCACTCATATGTGAACACTTCCACGATAAGTATCTAAAAATAATTACGAATCTACTAATGGATATTATTTATTATTCTGTATTTAATTTGTGTTGCATTAGAGAATATATTTTGTTAATGGTTTACTTCCTCTATTTGTTATCTATTACCGGTGATAATACAAAAAACAATTCAATTTTCTCTTCATTCTATTAATTCTAATAGTGTATTCATTTTCTAGCTACTAATTTCTTCGTTGTATCTGAAATAGCTAATTATTTATCCATTCATTTTACAATTTTTCTAACAAATTTAATAAATCGTTCAAAACTTCAATATTCCTTGACATTATTAATACGTGTCCAAAATAGAATTTAACAACAGAAAATTTTGCAATAATAATTTACAGTATACACTGATTAATCGTTAAAGATGGTAAACGTCCATATATTTATCAAGTGAGATATGTAAATACCATCGATGAAACTCCCTGTCAGTGCTACCCTGTCGATGAAAACATAATTCATGAAATTATTATCGATAACTTCAAAGAAACTCCCGGAAGAAAGTATATGGCTGTTTTCGAGGGTCATCGTTCGTTAGGTTTCGCAACATATCTTCAAATAAATCATCGGCGACCGTGCATAAAATTTGAGGAAAGGATACGGTGGTAAATCATAAAGGGAAATAGAGGCAATCGTCCAAATAGTAATTGTCACGAAACGACGGGGAGAAAATCACCGAACGGACCATATGTGCGCAGCGGGTGGCAAGCCACCCTTTGGGGAGACGATTAATATCTATGTATGTATAACGTAAATAGCGAAAGCGAAGCTGTCAACTGTTCGCATTCGGGGACGATACATTGCACTACATACGAATTTCGAGCCAAGTTATAGCAGCTATAGTAAGTATCGACCAGGGCCTCTTAAGAAATCTGTAGAAGCCAGATCGCTTCCTTTAAGAGGCTCCAGGTCAGGAGCATCGCTGTACTAGAAAAAGTTCTGTTTTCTGTAATCAATGGACTGCAGATTCAAATTCATATTTTCTCAGATACAGAACAAGAATTGAAACTTCACGAATTTGTTCCATGCTCTGTTGATACATTTCGTAATCATTGATACACTGCAGATTTTTATGCATTTATAGGAAATTTTAATGTGCAAGAAAGTACAAAATGCACACAGTGTGCGATAATAAAAAAAAATATTGAAAGTAAAGTTTATATTATAATATTTGCAGAGTAAAACAAATATCTATTTAAATTCCTATTCAAATCTTATTTAAATTCCTATTTTGCAAAGAATTTATTTGTCGAAGTGACCGTGCTCCGAAAACCAAGCGTTCATAAACTAAATAACTGTAAAGTAATGAATGACTACTATTGCTTGTAATGTCTCAACCTCTTGATCAATACTTATTTCTTCAAACTAAACTTATTTTTTTTAAACTAAAATTAATAAAATAAATAACTGGTCAATAATCAATTATCATCATGGGGTCATCTACCTTATCAATTATTCCATCTGGCCCTGTGATTGGGTCTAATAAATAAGTATCGAAAAAAGATGACGCGTGTCCTGTTGGACATTGGCGACGAGTACATTTCTAGGTACATCCAGCAACTTGATTCTTCCCTGGGTGGAAGAATTAAACGCGTCCCCGGTGTTGAACGTTTGATTAAGCGGCTGATTAAGAGCGACATAAGGGTATCGCGCGTTTCGGATTAATCTGAGTGTACGCGGGACTAAACACAGCCATGTGTACAAACATTGACAGCCGGTCACACACTTGCTAGTTTAGTTGGGGGAGGTGCGTCCTCGGCTGAAACCAGCCGTACAAAACAATTTGTTAATCTGGCGACAATACTTTTTTCGACATTTTGCACGTTGCAATCGCATCAGTTTCTTTATGGAGGCACAGTAACGGTGCAGAAAATAGATGCATTTTTCAAGAGTGTTTTTCCATATATCAGATATGAATGAAATACATCGTTCCACTTCAAATAGCTATAGCAATGCCAAAAATTGACCAAACTGGACGGTTTTTTTTCAAAATGTGCGTTTCTGAATAAACGTTACGAAATAAAAGTTATCTATATTATTTTATATATATATATATTCAAAAAGTTAAATTGCGAAAAAATGAAAAAGAAATTATTTTCAATTGAAAAAAAAGGAACAAAAATTTGCCCGATGATGGGACTTGCGTCTTAAAATGGAAAAAAGATCAAAGTTTTAGGGGGAAAAGAAAGGAAAAAATATTAAAGGTGATGAAATTTGAAAAATTTAAGTTTTTTCCGAAAAATCAAAAAATTGTATAGAAGAAGTATTCAAATAGTTTGATTTGTATTTCTTTCGTAACGTTTATTCGAAAACGCACACTTTAAAAAAAAGACCGTCCACTTTGGTCAATTTTTAGCATTGCTATACCTATTTGAAAAGGAACGATGTTTGGTTTAGTACAAAAATCTCCAAAAATTCACAGAAAGGTATTTATACATGCATTTTAACTATGATAAGTAGTTAATTGATTTACTTGCATTGCTTGTTCGAAAACAATTCTCGAATATACGTCTATTTTCCAAACGTTCATTAAAGAAAAGAAAACACTATAAAATGTAGCGTTTTTTATAAATTAAAGAACATTACAATTGAACGTGAGAGATGACGTCGATTACCATGAGTAGCGTATTTTGGTATTAAAGAAGAAAATCTTAAAACGATGATATACCAGAGATTGGAAAAACGCGTAAACCGAGGTTGCGAATCGAGGCTGAAGAAGCATCGACATCTCTGGTTATGGAAGAGGTTAAACCTCGCCTCGATTTACGCTGGCGGTGCCATAAGGGGAGAGATTCGGATGCGACCAAGAGTCGTTCATAGGGCTAATCGTTAGGGCGGCCACCCCTGGGGTCCTTCACCCCCGTTTTGCGACCCCAAATCATACCATGGCAACCCATAGGGATTTACACTCGCGATAATTGCATTAGCATTCGATGATTTTTATTGGTTCCCCGATTGGTATTTATACGAGACGGGATTATCGATAGCTTGTAACGATAACGATTCCCCGACTACTTTTCCCTTTTTCGACGTTTTCCTCGATTCGGGGGGCATGGTTAATCGTGTATTATTTATCTGCTTCAAGGTTGCGCTGCCCAGCATGCCCTCCTCGGGAAAACTAGAAGACCGAGAACAGCCTTCACCTCGCAACAGCTTCTCGAGTTGGAGAAACAGTTTAGACAGAACAAGTACCTTAGCAGACCAAAGAGGTTCGAGGTGGCCACCTCCCTGATGCTCACGGAGACACAGGTAAAATTGCCATGTTACGAAACCGTGTCGATACGACAGAGTCTTTAGGTCCCATGGAAATTATCGACGTAGATTTTACCGACTAGATCATCCACGCCAGTCTTTATCGACACTAATATCGACAAATTTGAAAAATTCCCTAAAAAATAGATAACCATGTTTTATACTTCAATATTAAAGATTATTATTTTTGGAGGTCATGAAGTTGAATTTATGTGTGTCATACTGCACTCAGATAATGTATCGAATAATTGAAAATATAACAAATAATCATCCTTTTGAAAAATCTATAGGTAGCTATTTTTCAGTTACTTGCTAAATAGAAACAAGTGATAACCAACGACTGTTTCTATAAAAAGTTGATTAAGATTTATTATGTAATAATTAGACTGCAAATGTTTATGGAAATTCATATTTTCGTAGATATAGAAAATGAAAGTTTGTTCTATCCTCTAAACAGTGTAACATGTATAGTATTCTTGACATTTTATATTCTTCTGGATTTATGAACATTTTCATACGTCTAGTAATAATATATTTGAAAATAAGCTAAATATATACCGAGTTACGATCAGGTTGGTGTGAATGAATCCTGGTCGGTAAAGTCTGCGTCGATAAGGTCAGTGACGATCGGTAATATCCATGAAACAAGCAAATCTAACAGAAAGGGACTCTCAATGGATATCTAATGCACAGTCTGACAATCACAAGAAATTATATAGTTCCAAAGTTCAAATATATTAGGAGGACCAAAAAGTAATGTCGTATCTGCGAATGCCAATATTTGTTTATTATTTATCAGCTCACTGTGTGCCAATTAATTTTTATCGACCAGGTATAGAAAATTTACAAAAGATTGTTGACAACGAGGACGATTACGTAAGTGATTAAAAATAAAAATATATTATAAATCGATTTGTTTGAGTTTAATATAAAAGAAACGACATAATTTTCTCGTCTCCTAAAATTAACTATCACGCACTTCTTGTTTGCACATTTTGCAACCAGATGGCTCCGAGTACAAAGGGTTAATTTATTGTATAATATTATCACCAAACATTGATTATCGCAAGTAGTATCGTATACTGTTTTCAAACCGGCATTCGCTGATGTGTAATGTTTGAATGTTTACCGGCATTTTTATTGAAATCGTCGCTACCGATGTCCCCTAACGATAAGTCAGACGCAAAGTCCCGTCTTATTCGCGAAGAAGAGGGTGCTCCTTACCGTGAGGTGTGAAAATGGACGGAATGGAAACGGAATCAAGTGGAGAGCAAAAAGAGAAAAAAAAAAGGAAAAAGCACGGAGAGAAATCCGTGGAATAATCCAGGATCTTTCTCTTTCGCCGTGCCGAATGCGAACGAGCGAATCTCCGCGCGTAGTTCAACAACTTAAACATAACTCCGAAGCTTACGTGTTCTGACGGATCGCTTGGCAAATAGCGACGAAAGTCTGAGTTATGGCAGGCTGAGTCCCTGATTTGTTTCGATATTTAACCGATTCTACCTCGAGCCTTGTACCTTTCGAACGACGAAACGTCGCGCTGCGTCTACCGTCGATTTGTTCCTTCTTCTTTTCTTTGCGCCGTCCATCATAAAAGATGGCCCAGCGCGCTAGTGTTACGCGTGCTGGACGTGCAATGGATCTCTGAAGAACATAATCTCGTTTTTGTTTTGGAAATTCCAAACGAGATTTCGAAGTCTAATTTTAATTTTAACTGGAATGTGACTCTATTTAGAACGTTATTATGCCCATAATGTCTGTATGGCTGACTCTATGTAGAATACTATAATGCCTGGCTTTATGTAGAATGTCATACTATGTCTGATTCTGTTTGGAATGTCAGAATGTCATCATTGCTGACTCTATCTAGAATCTCATAATGTCCGGCTCCAACTACAATCTCATAGCCCACTTTATCTAGAGTATCATAATGTCTGACTCTATTCAGAATGTCATACTATCATAATGTCAGGCTCTGTCTGGAATGTCATAATGTCATAATATCAGACTCCATCTAGAATGTCATAATGTCTGATTCCAACTACAATGTCATACCCCACTTTATTTAGAATATCATAATTTCTGACTCTATTTAGAATGTCATACTATCATAATGTCTGACTCTGTCTGGAATATCATAATGTCATCATGCCTAACTCTATCTAGATCATTATAATGCCTAATTACCTACAGTGTCATATACGTTCTAGTTTTTACAATATTAACATAATATTCTACATAGAGCCCAGTGTATAATTAATACACTCTCGTAATTTCATTCAATAAATTCATAAGTTTTTAAACAATTCTCCAATAATTTTGAATTTTGTGAGAGTTGTTAAACCTTAATGTCCCATTATCAAGTCATTTTCTCCACTTACGTGAAAATCATAACGAACATCATAGTTGGAACCAAATGCGCCCATGAAAAATTGTTAAGTTTTCTTTCGTTATTCGGTATTTTCGTTCGAACAAGACTCCCCCAATTTTCAATCGAACCTACGATAGAGCCGAGATAACGTATCTCGAAGGGCAGATGGAAAGTGATAAAACTTGCTTGAAATTCCCTTTGGTTCCCTCCGCGCTTCAATATTTCTGTACTGCGGTGTACTTGTGAGAAAGTATAATACATATACAGATACTTACGTATCCTTCGACGCGAGAAGAAGGCACGCGCGTTTCCCCCGAAGGGTGAAGATGTAATCGGGTCGGTTCCGAGACGTGTCGGTTCGGGCGTATGATATGTTGCCCCAAAGATTTACATCGCTTTCTTATGGGATTGGAGGAGGAAACATCGAGTCTCTATATTCGCTCCAAGAATCCCGTGTTACTGCTCGCATGAGTGACTATAATCCTTCAATTATCGAATCGATTCAACCACGCAGATTTCGTTCGACTACAGCGAAACAAGACGGAGTTAATAACTAAACAATTATTAACACCTTTTGCCATGGCAACCGATACTTTTATACAATAACGATAGCTGTCCCTATTGTATTATGTGTCTGATTATCCCTTTGTAATGATGATGATTAAATTACTCTCTATCTGGTAGAATTAATTGCAATTTTTGGTATTCAGAACATTCTTGTATCATTAAAGAGAGACAATGTTAATAACCTAAGTTAATAAATTGACAATTTGTGTACGTCCTCATAATACCTTTGATTGTCATTAATGTATGCATGCATAAATGTTTATGCAAATTCATAAAAGATGGAAAAAAATTGCAGAAACGAGATCGTTCATACGTTTATGATTAAAGTAAACTTTATTTTAATTTCCTTCGCCGAAAGTTAGCGTTGGAAAACGACATTACTTATGATCTAATATTATTAAGGTGAACCAAAACTTCGTGCGTTTTTTAAGTTGTTTCAGTTTGTGCAATTTTTTAAAGTCATTAAAATTACTTTATATCCAAGTGTTATATATCATTTCGTAGCTTTTGGAAAGCTCTTTCATATTTAGTTAATAACTACATTAACTTATTGTTTATCATTTTAGTGAAATCATGGTCACTGCTGGAAGATAGAGTTTAAAGCTACCGAATATTTTCTTTTTTTTGTTGCTTCGATAACTTTAAACTCTTCAAAGTACTAGAATCTCAAAATTTTGTATGTTATTACTAAAACAAAAAAAAATTGAACGATCAATAAATTAATGTAGCTTATAATTAAATATGAAAGAGCTTTCTAAAAGCTACAGAATGATATATAACTCTTGCGTATGAAGTAATTTTAATTACTTTAGAAAATTACACAAACTGAAACAACTTAAAAAACGCACGAACTTTTGGCTCACCTTAATACCTAAACCAAGGTCAAGCCTGAAGGTTCACGGTGAAGGACTTATGGAGGGAACAGCTAGTGGATCTCTATTATCTAAACTACTCGATTATCAGAACTGCCTTGTCCTCGAACCTGTTCTAATAAGTAAAATTCTATTCCATCGATTTGCCTCATCGATAATTGATCATTAGAAAAATATAGATAACAAATTGAGATTCCAAGTACACGCGTACCGTTAGATCCTATGACGTGTGTACCGAATAGTTCGATATAAAACGATACTCCATTAACAGGTTACCGATTACCGACAAGATCGCTAATGGTATCAGCCCTATCTCTAATTCCCACGTCGAATATTTTCCTCGCCAAACGAACTGATCGTTGATCCGATATGTTTGAATTCAGGTGAAAATCTGGTTTCAAAACCGACGGATGAAGTGGAAGAGAAGTAAGAAAGCGCAACAAGAGGCACGTGCAAGTAGCAAAGGAGACGATACCGGAAACGGAAGAAGTACGGAGAGGGAAACCGGTGGCGATACGAGCACGAACTCGCCTAATCCGCAAGAGGACTCCAAGGGAGCGTTGCAGGAAACCCAGAGAACCACCAACGAGCTTCAGGAACCCCTTTATCGGCCATACGTCGTGTAAAAGTCTGACCAAAGTAACTGTGCTAATTGAGAACGAACGATTCTAACGTAAACTATCACTGCGCGTCTAACACCTGTCCGTCGACTTGCCGCGTTTGATATTTCGGTGGTACACTTATTGTTATACATACGTGATCCTTAGCCCCGTATAAAGGATAAACGAATATGAAATATAAAATATACGAATACGTAAAATGAAAAGGGAGTCAACGTGTCGGGATGATCGATTAGACTGAAGTTATACGGTAGGAGCTTCGTTATGTGAACTAATTCGAGGGAGATAAAAGTGTTGCGTAAACAAATTTTCAGAGAATAAAAGATTGCAAGCTATTAGGTTCATTTTACGTGATATCGAGGGCAACGTTATACAGAGTATCTCAGAATTAGTGTAAGAAGCGGAAATAGGGAGTAGATGGGACGATTCTGAAGCACAATTTCCTTTGCGAAAATGTCGGTTGATGCTTCGTTTCTGAATTATTAACGAAAAACCAGCGACCAAACACAGCGCCCGAGTAGCGCGCTGTTACCAGCCAATCCTGGCTCGAGTCTATGCTCTCGCGGCTGAGCACGCACTACTCGGCCGCTGTGATTGGTCGGTGCTTATTTCATTAATAATTCAAAAACGAAGCACCATCCGACAATCTTGCAAAGGAAATTGTGCTTCAGAATCGTCTCAGCTACCTCCCATTTCCGGTTCTTACACTATTTTATATTAATATACTACTCTAATCTAGGCAGATGTTTAAAAAAAGTGACTGTGCCAATAGTTTCTTTACCCACTGTATACCTCAATTATTTTATTTTAACGGCATAAACGAAATAAAAATTCTAAAATTACTAACTGTACGTACAGTATTAGAATTGGAAGCATGCAGTTCATACGACAAAACGTTCACGTAACGGGTGTCCACATAACGAAGGTTCCACTGTACATACATGTATGTACATACTAACTACGTATACCCAGTGTAACGTTGCGAACACTTGTATGTAAATATTGGGAACAAAAGAGAGTAATCGACGTTGGCATCGTCGACGTATCCTGAGAAATGAATCATTGGATCCTGGTCCGGTGCTTCCCCGAAAAGTCGTTCTGATAATGTTTACCGCTGAAGAGTGCGAGTGTAAATTTCTATTCCATCTTGTAACGATAAGGCGAAAGTAAGAAGGTGAAACGTATAAACGTGTGTGCATGTGTGTCGCGTATGTGTATGTGCGTGTGAGTGTGAGATAGGTTGCAAAAAGATGTATAAAAGCGAAAGAAATACGAGAAACGCAAGCGTCAAAGATGCCGTCTTGACGATTTGTAACATTACTCAAAACGTTACTCTAGATCTACTTAAACCGGAGACACGTACCTATTTATGATAAACGATGTAACTGTAAATATTATTCGTGTACGTTTAACAAGGTAGAGAGATGCGATGCGAAGATAACGTCATAATATGTCGCAACAAGTTCCTAAAATAAATTATGGATATCGGAGAAAATAATGTTAACATTTCCCACTTTCCCCTTTGTTTGCATTTTTCATCGGGCATCCGGATAGGAGGAGGAGATAAGGAGGAGAATCGTTGTAAGTTGCGTCGAAATCCGTAAGATTTTTGCGTACAAATGCATTACTTCACGAATACATTTTTTACTCATGCTCATAATGGGTCTTTCTAATCGTCTGAAAAATTTAACTCGTCATTTTATCGATACAGAGTGGTCCAGACACTACCACCTCGATTTAAGTCAATATTATTATGCAAAGCGAAAGATGATCCAGATGCAGTTGAATGGTTTCGAGTGGAACACATTCTCGTGTTATTAATTTTTTTGCAGGTGGTGAAGTCGAAAAAACAAATTCTTCGAACTTATAAGATTATTCACGGAACAATATGAACACGATATTTGAAATAATACAATTTTCTTAATTTTTATTTTGATTATTTAATTTTCTATCCGTCAGACTTTGTAATGTCAATCTTATGCTTTGTACATACGTTATTTCATGGAAAATTTTACAAACTGTTCGGATTTTTCTGATCTCTCTGATTTATCTTTAATTACCATAGCTGTCATCGTCATCTCTAAAAAGCATCCATGAAGAAAACCTCCGATATAAATTTGTTCTATTACCATTAATCGATATCGAATACAACCCAACAATTTCGTTTACTCTGCCCATTTCGTTAACTTTTCCAAAAATAAATCTCAAAGACTCTCCCTTTTCGAAATAAATCTAACGCTAAATTTCTAGATGTATCTAAGTTCCAACAAAATAATGATGTCGTAAAAATTGTCCGATTCGGCCGAAAATGGTCCTTATCGTTATCGTTTAATCATACGGATTCACGTCACGCGAAAACGAGTCTTTGTTCTCGTGAAAAACTTGGCTTGGTATTCGAAGAAGACACAATCATAAGCTTCCCAACGGTTACCGTGTGCGCGTACGCAAGCAGGATCATCAGTATTTATGATATGCTAATTCCCCGTTACAAATTCCGGGATGTTTCGCGGATGACTGCTCCTACTAGCTGCAGCCAGTGAAAGCCACCCGTTTGGAAAACCAGTCGTCAGCGAAGGAAAGGAAAGGAAGAGGAAAAATTGCATTTGTTGAATACGGATCGGTCGAGAAGTTTGTTCGCTCTGCTATACTTAACTAACGACAGAGAGTTTATCGATTCGACGATAGGAAACGTTAACGTTTGCAACGAAACGCCGGCGCCCGATCCTCGATATATCGCTGCCCACCTCGAACGGTAGTCGTCGCTTTCGACGCACATAAATATTATTAATCTTTTCGAGTCCCCTGATTATCCCACCTTTATAGGTGTAGAAATTAATTCTGTGCCTTTCTAAGGTAAACTTACCATTTATCTCGGAAGAAAAATGATACAAAAATACCAAATTTGAAAAACCAAGGTGAAACCAAATTTCAAAGCAATCTGCGCAATTCGTTACTATGTAGATACTTTAATGCAATTAAATGACGAGAAAATATTTCTGTTTAAACTAGAGTTATGAATCATACAAAAAATAATACGAAAATAATTTCAACGTGCAACAATTGCCAAGTACGATTATAATTTGCTAGAAAAAGAAGAATTATCAAAGTTTCTCGGATACTGAACCTCGTATACATAGATAGGTTATAACGACCATCAGGTTGAGACTTATATGTACATCGATTCATTGTAATGGAAATCAGGTTAAGAAAAAATCAGGTAAGAAAATATTTTTACTTCAACTATAATTGTAAACGATTGCATGTAAAGGCGCAGAATTAATTTCTACACCTACTATTTTTAGTTTGAACGCTTCAAAAATAAATTCCCTATTTCTCCTCTTCAGCATAGTTATGTTCGTATATTTTTAGCTGAGATGCTTTCAAATTAAATATACGAAGGACCCTATCAATCATTCTTTGTTTGAACTATGTCAAGGTGAATATTAATTAAATTTCTCGTAGGTCCAGGAAAGTCACGCTTGGAGTTGCCGAGAGCTAAGAAGAGGAAGACGATTTAATACCGCCATTTAAGAATACGACATCGTGTATTTCTTACAGAAGTCTGGTAGGACACAGTTCTGTGACAAAGGAAATTAAATTAAAAGTAGTGTTCCAAAGAGAAATTAAATTAAAAGAAGAGTACCAAAATAAATTTTCTTTAACTGCCTGATAAATATTCAGTCGCTAGATGGTAGTCTGTTAAAAAGGAAAAGCAACACTCTTCTAATTCATATGATATTCATACGATACAAATCGCACGCAGAACACTCGCGAGAACATTTGCTTTGACTAACACTCCGGAACTTTTTCTGGCGCATAATCGCGCAATGTAACAAAAGAGAAAAATAAAAGCACCGAAGAATGAATAAGAACGTCTCAGCTGGAATGTCATAAAATGGGACTGGAATCGTCCAATTCTCTGCCTACCATTTCGGTTTGCCCTCTTCAAACTCCACTACGTGACTCTTATCAATTTCATGACAAAAGTGATTAATACAAATTCTTTTTTAAGGACATATCATGGTACTAGGTATGATTTAAACAATTTTTATTCAATTTAATACCATTGGCCACATCATTATTAATCTTCAAGTAGAGATATACACAATCCCCATACACAGTCCCATAAGCATTCGTACTATCTATGTCTATTGAAGAAATTTGTCTATATTAAATAATAGGTTTGAGGTTTCCAAATAAGTTTTTTCATTATAATTATATACGTGTGTATAGTTGATGAGTGTATATATTTATAACGAAACATTTATATGATCACATCAGACTTATTTAATTTAGACAAATATCTTCAGTAGACATAAATGGTATGAAAATACTTATGGGATTGTCTGTATACATACAGTATATACGTAGCATGATATACTTTTACTTGAGACGCTTTAAATATAAATATCTAAAAAGAGCCCCTCTTCATCGTGGAAATTTACACATTGTCAGCAGAAATGCTTTTAAAATAAATTCCTAAATACCTAAATCCTAAATTCTATATCCTAAATTCCTAAATCCTCTTTCTTCAAATTTTAAAAACATTGCCCTTTACCGACAATAATTTAATGTAACATACCACAGCCTACTACTACATGCTACATTCTGTTCAAATATATTGCTACGTAGCATGCCTACAATCAATTTTGAATCAAAAGGCGTTTCGAAGAATGACAACAAATTCGCGCTCGGTAGAGGGTTAAAGTTCGACCACTTCCGAAAAAAGTGTCTAAATCCTTTGGTCCCTGCATTATTCAAAGTATTTGAACAATACTGGCTATACTACACAAAGTGGCCACATTACCCAGGATCCCCCAATACGTGATTACACGATTTCGTGCCATCAGATTCGATCACGCTAGCGAACGGCAGACGATGAAAATCTTGCCGGTCCAAGTCGCGGAGGCGGGCGCGGGGAAGGAGGGGCGGGGCACTCATGTTTATATGCATTGTATTGCTAAAACCCTTTTAACCGAATTACATTTAGCGATTCTAGTGCCGCTTTCCCGGTTCTCCTTCCTCGAGTCTGCCACTGGCCGCCGACGCCACCGTCGTCGCCACCATTCCCACCCCTCGGGCTCTTCACTTCCAACCGCTGACTCCCAGGCTTCGATTCGCCGTTCCCGTCCTTTTCCAGCGCGCGACGCGTGCCTGTTAGCGCGACGTATAGCGTTCTCCTACCACCGGAACCACCTAAACGAGAAACCAGAGAGGCAGAGGAACGGGGAGAGTTGGCTCGGGCGGTGGTTGGCGGGGTTAGGAAACCGTTGGGGCTGGGGATTCCGAGACTCGGAACAGCATCCCTGAATTCTTGATTCTCTTGGTAAACAAGTGCTTAGGTGATTCACTGCTTGTTCGCTCCTATCGGCCGTCGTTTGTTTCCAGACGCCATTGCGTTCCGCGATTCTACCTCGTTTTCCGGTCTAATGGCTTTCCGAGACCAACGGAGGTTGCTCCGAAACGCTCGCCCCCATTTTTATTTATCTTTTGTTTCCCCTCTCTGCCATCCTTCAACCATTCCTACCCAAGCTCCTCTAACGTCTTAACCTCCCACGCGGGGACACTTCTTCGGCGTACTTTGGCGGATACTCTTTGATCCACGATGTCCGTGGATACCGTAACTGTGACGAATATTTTCTGCGGAGTGTTAAGATACGGTAGGGTCATTCGTATTACTGGTCGTGGCTCCAGAGGAAATGTATCGATCGAGATGAAATTTAGGGGTTCTTATCAATTTTTTCGAACTAACGAACGAAGACGATACCTTCGTGAAGAAGGGATGACAATTGTACGTCTCTCGGATACCAACCCCCTCGCTGCCTGCCAAATTCTTGTTTCTCTTGTCTGTTGTTTTGCCTGAGTAGCACCGGACCACAATTTAGGGGTTCTTTGTTGTAATGATTTAAAGATAGATACGTGAAGAGGGGTCCTTTTTACCATGGACATCTTAGATTATGGGATTGGTTAACACATTAAGAACCGCACATCTAGAAACTGCGCGTAGAAAACACGAGAAAACTCGTGAGCGGTCCTTAATGCGATAAGAGCAGAAATTCTCAGTCTGTAAATCTTTATATTTTATCTTTTGTTGCTTGGACGCGGAAGGACGTCTTTTCGCCTCGAGATTCAAACTAAGAGTGAAGTCTTTTTCGACTTGGGTCTGCCACATGGTTTTCACACTGTCCTCTTGAACACAAATACTGCCAGAGGCCCGACTACGAAGGCAGCAGAAATGAAACTTTCACTTTTGAGAAACGCAGTGTCCCTCGACATTTATTTAATAATAAACCAACAGAACATTTATACATCTTCAGCCACAATGCTTAAACAATAAATTCTCAAGTAAACTCCCTCTTTAACACTTATACATTGTTATCTGTAATGCCTTCAAAATGAATTCCTGAAGGGGTCCTCTTTCCATCGTGGAGGT